TACGACATACACCCGTCGCGGACCGAGTGATCGGTCGCGCGACCGGTCGCTGGCCAAAACGTGGACTATGAAAGCAGCCATTCACGAACACATTCATAGTCCACCTCGTACTCGGAAAAGCATGGCCAAAAAATCGATTATTGGTTCACATTCCTCCAGTTTTCGACCAAACTACACAACAACTCCGTCAATGGGAAGAGTTTAGATCAAAAGAAAGATACACCGCTCCTTAGCCAGCTTTTTGCCATAATTCTTGTTTAGATGTGGAAATTCACTTTACAGTTCAAGTATCTTAGTAGTATCAGCTGCCGATCTCATTCTGTTTTAGTTATCCCACTAGTGCTCTGCACACACAGGATGGACGCGTTCACAAATTTGTTGGATATCACTCGGTACAGTCAGTGCTGGAGAATATTAATGTGAGCTTTGCAGTCAATTGAGTAACTTCGGCTGAAAAAAACCATACGGGACCGCTATGACTTCACCAGGACCCAAGAAGTAAGCTGAAGAGGGCGCCATTATCCTTTTTAGCCGTTAGCCTGTTCCCTCACAATCCAAGAATTTATATTGTACCGCTCTCGGGGCAAATCCACTCCTAGACGTCAAAGCTCAGGAAAATATTAATTCCCCTGCTCCAATGTAGGCAGTGGTGCCCTCAGAGCCTTCTGAAGAGTTAGAATTGGATAATGTTCAAGGTCAATAATGGAGTGAATAACAGTAAGGTTGACCCTTCTAAGCTAAAACTTCCTTACTGCTATTCATTACGTAAATTAGTCTTCACCTGTCTTTAGGGCTGGTATCAGATCAAAAAAGCCTACCAAATGCTTAGTTTACCTTAACCGATCCTCTCCATTGACCTCTAGGCTTATTGATAACAGGTCTCCTGTTTGTAAAGTTGGAATTATAGGGGACATGCTTGAAGGCGGAGTCTTCTCTCTTACTGGGTCTAGGAAAATTACATGATTCAAGTGACTTTGATATAATGTGTAGGTGCAGTGGTCACATTTCTGAAACCATACTAAAATTTGTTGATATTCTGCCATTCTGAGAGGAAATCATTCCTAATTCAGAATGCTCTCAATCCTGCCGTGGATGAGTTGACACCAGCAGATTTCGAACGCTTAGTTCAAAATCGTGAAAGCGACATCACCTGGGTTGTCGACTTCTTTGCACCTTGGTGTGGACCATGCCAACAGGTAGTTTTTTGAATCCCAGAAGAAAAAGCACCTGAGGATTTGGTAAGGCGCTACAGCTCATGAAGAAAGTCATACTGTAATTACATTTCGTCATCAAATATTTTATTGGTTGCAGCTTGCTCCGGAACTTCATCGAGCAGCCCGGTCCCTTCGCCAGTACAGCGAACACGTTCACATCGGATCGATCGACTGTCAAGCATATGGCGCATTCTGTCGTGAACAGTCTGTGTTTTCCTATCCAACCATTCGTCTCTTCCCGGCCACTACCAAGCAACGGTGGCTTAAACAATACTAGTTAGTTATAACGATAACTCACGCTTTTGACTTTTCAATGAAGCTCTCTTTTCATAACCTTTCTTATTCTGCTCGTTTTCTCGTTGTACAGATTACTCACTGTCCACTATGTTTCAGTGATTACCCCCAGAACATGTGGAGAAATTCGGACACTATTGAACGATGGGTTTTTGGCATGTTACCATCGTTAGTCACATCTCTTGGAAACGACTTTTGGCATGGGGTGAGTATAAACTGCATCACAAGAAACTTGTTTCACTGAAAAATTCATCACATTAATTATTTCCACTGAATTCAGAGTTATGATCCCAATGCTCTGTCTAGTCCAAGGGGTGGAGGGAAGGAGCCCAAGTTTATGGTTTCCGACCATGTGCTTATCCCTTGAGCCACAGGTTTTAAAGCTTTACTCTGCGGTTCATTTCCTACTTCGGCCAGCTGGCTCCTATTATTCGAGTGAATTCCGATGATTGATCGNAACCCCCCCCCCCCCCCCCCCCCCCTCCAGGATACTTGTGATGATTCCTGGAGACTACTTATAATGAGCCTCGCCAGCTCTGAGGCTTCAATACAAGGTCATCGAAGCCACACCCTCCTACTCTCCCATACTCTCCTAATTCTACTTTTCGACCGTGAAAACTTGAGCTTCAAATGTACTGCAACCTAAGGTTTTTCCATGATGTTTTTCAGGCAACAATGATCCTCTGTCCTGATTTTGAAGAAATTTCTCATTTCATTCGAGATAACAAGAGGGTTTCCAGAATCCTTCTTAAACTTTACCTAAAGACCAGATACGTAGATACGACTCGAGCTTCAGGTTTTGGATTCTGACGAGCCTTGGCTGGTCGACTTCTTCGCTCCATGGTGTGGACCTTGCATTCAATTTGCGCCGGTGTTCGAACAAGTTGCTAAGGTGAGCATTATTTGACAAAACTTTCGACAAAGCATTTTCTCGCTTTGAATAAATCCTTGCTTATCAGGCACTCGAAGGAAAAGTTAAACTTGGTAAAGTGGATTGTGATCAATGGCCAGGCGTCTGTCGTGGAGCACAGGTAAGGCTTTTGGTATAGAGCGCGGAAGCCAGTGAATTATGTATGAATAAGTGGTCTTGGTATTTAGATTCAAGCCTATCCATCTATTCGGTTTTATAAAGGACAACACGATGGGCGGCAACAAAGTGTATGGGGTTTGCAACTGCAAACACGGGATAAGGACGAGATAGTCCGATTAATCTCCGAGCAGGTGGAAATGCTCTCAGGTCACGACGAGCTGTAGAGATCTCCATGGTCTGAGCGGGAGAACAATCGAACAGCAGTATGTTCCTCCTCCTTCACTCTGAGATGTAAGATGTTTTAATAGGGAATTGAACCTCAAACCGTAACCAAAGTCATTTATATTAAGGTCTCATGAGTCTCATCAATTTCACTTTCTCATTTTTCATCATATCAAATAGGATATCTTATTCTAGCATAATTTATTGTCTTGAGTGATTTAATAACGTAACGAGTTGAGTGAGTACGGTTTATTGTTGATTTGTTGATACTGTTTATGTATTGATCGATTAACTGGGATCTGAATGTTTTTATTTTCGAGAACCAGCAAATATATTTGTGTTCTTGAGATTTCTGATTACTTGAAGAGACTTTACGCTCACTGAAATTCAGCTCAGTTTTTGCGCCTTCACTTTTCAGGTCAAAAAGGGGGCGAAAATAAATATTTAGGTTCTTTAGTAATGCCCATCTGTAGAAAAGGAATGGTATCGGGACCTATGGTGTACCGATTTTTCTTACAGTATTGTAGTAATCGCTGAAGTGAGGTTAATAGGGACCAAACACTGCCTGCTGCTAACAAAGTGGTTCAAACACGATATTCCGATAGAATAGCAACTATTACGACGAAAGGGAAGGGGCATGGAAGAGAGAAGGTTGATACTATGCTGTCCTCTTTATCTATAAAAAACACAGAGGGAAATGGATTCGAGTACAGTTCTTACGAAATCGCCCTCCTTGAAGGGCCGTGGACGAACCTTGCCAACAGTGCGGCCCCATCACACATCCTCGGTCCATTGTGCCTTCGTTTTATGGTACAATTTGGTACAATCGTTTTATGGTACAATCGTTTTTATTCCCTCAGCAAGTAAATAGTAGAAAGTAGAACCAGTGAATGAAGCCTAGGTATAATAACATACTCAAACTGTAGATGCTGCCCGCCATCCCCAAATGCTGCTGGTAGAGGACGAGATCAGAACAAAGCCGCCTTTATGGTATCATTCCACGTGTAACTGGGTGCTCATAAACCTTTGCCCATCGTCATAATATATACTTTATTGATACAAAATATTCCACTGAGCCTACAACCAGATGCTTCCTTAGCTAAAGACAGCATGTGCTGATGTTGTTAACCGCCTTGTCAGAGAATGTTTTCAAAAAG